CTGCAACATGTAGGCTTAGGTGTGCAGGTAGGCTTCGACAAGGGCAGTGCAGGAACCGATGGACGGGTTCGGGGGTCAGGGTGCGCAGCGTGCGCGGATGTTGGATGTTGGTAAATGTAGGGGCCTTAATGGTTAGAGGAGGGTTTTGGGGCCCAGTGTACTATGAATATAATGAGGAACCCCCCAAAACAGTATTCGTAATTATTCAGGCCCCTATAGTATAGTACCCTTATAGACCCCTTGTAGTAAGCCTTATATAGACCCATTAAGGAACCCTATGCTAACTATTTAGGCCCCCTATCTTATGTCCGGCCCAACTCCTGTCAGGTAGTCATGGCAGCGAAGCATGTGACCATCGAGGAGAGACTCGAAGCCTTCCTGGGTAGTCCTTCGTAGGTTTGCGGTAAGGAGGGACCGAACGCGCAGATCCCCGGTTTGGGGTCAGTATAAAAGGAAGAGACGTGCATCAAGTCTTTCAGCATCGAAGCAGGGAACTAGACCTTCGAGATGATATCGTCATGAATAAATATATCTTGCGATCGTGCTTGAATCCTGGCTTCCGATGCTTTAGGGTTTAGGGTCCCAGATCCATCTTTTGGAGTTCGGAATCGCCATTCTGTGTTGATTGAATCATGGGCCAGAGCTCAAAGCTTTTAGATCCAAGGAATATTCCGTAACAGCCGTAACCTATGTTATGGATCCCAGCACAATGTAAGGGAGTGCTTAAGCAAGGTGTAGAGTCAGGTCTGGACATGCTAAACCAGCTTCCGCAGAGCACTTTATGATCCTTTGCTTTGTAACCCTGACAGTAGGCATTTGGGTCGAACAGTAGATGGAGGGTCGAGTCTTAGTTAAAACACCACAAAACCTCTCAACTTCAAAGCCTGTGCCTGCAGACCCGACAGTTGGAAGCCCTAAACTTGAACCCTCAGACCTTCCAACCCTAGACCTTGAATTTTGGGGCACTAGGACTATAGCCCTGAACCCTCCTCAGCCTAGGACCTTATAAACCGTGCACCCTCAACCCAAACCTTCAACCCTAAGCCTAAACCACCCCATACTCTTGTGTAAAGCCCTAAACTTAGTAGTAGAGTAGGTAACCTTTCACCTTGTTTTGGGTAGTATAGTCCCTATAAAACCCCTATATAACCAAAAAGGTTAAGCTTTAGTTCCCCGTGATACCCGACAAGTAGGTAAACCCTCCTTTCCCAGACCCGCAGTGTTCGGGGGAGGACCTGATCTTCGGTGCAAAGGAGAGAAAAGATGTCGACAAGGCATTCCTCCGGTTTGGGGAGTGCGGAGGCTTAGGGTTTGGGGTTTAGGGTTTTGGGGTGTTCGGGTTTGGTTATACTACTTTGAGGGGTTATACCCCCCAAAACCCTATTCTAATCAACTATGACGGCCCCTACAGTTTAGTGTTTGGGGTTCGAGCGCTTCGTTTTTGAGGTTTGGGATGCTGCTTTTCTGCAAGGGTTTTGGAGAGGCCTTGGCAAATGAGAGGAGGCTTTGGTTTAGTCAATCGGTTTGCAGGGGATCCATACCCTACTGAAATTGTATCATAACTAGGATACTTGCAAAAGGCCTGTAGCTGCACATCATTACCACTCATGACAGTGCGTCTTGTGGTTTGGGATGAGGATTGGGGTCCATGATTTTGGAGTTTGGGAGTGTTTACGAATGGGAGCAGGACATACGCCCTTGAAGTGTGTGCCCAAGACCTACACCACAAAATCAGGCCCTCAACCCTAAAGCATACATCCCTGCCCGTTGAACCCTTAAAGCCCCAAAACCCTGAACCCGAAATCCCAAAGCCTTAAACCAAAACTGAAACCTTAAATAGAAAACTCGAAGCGCCGAAACACGTAACCCCAACCCCCCCACAACTCTAAATCCTAAGCCGTAACCTTGAAAGCCTAATCCCAAAACCCTACCATCCCTAAACCCTACCATCCCTAAACCCTATCATCCCTAAACCCTCTCATCCCTAAACCTTCAAGAATCCTAAACCCTAAACCTTAAACCCCAACCCCTCATCCCCAAACCCTAAATCCTAAACCCTAAACCCTTAAATCCTAAGCCCCCTCATCCCCAAAGCAGGTTGCCATCAAGAAGGATGAGCTCGTGATCTCCTGTTTGAGGAGCCTGGCCATGGATGCCATTCAGAAGGCCCCGGGGATTACTGGGGTTTAGGGGGTTTGGGGGTTTAGAGGCTTACTTAGGGGTTCAGGGTTTAGGGTTTAGGGGTTTAGGGGTTTAGGGTTTAGGGTTCAGGGGTTTAGGGTTTAGTGGTTTAGGGGTTTAGGGCTCCGTGGATTACTGGGGTTCGGGGGCTTAGGGGTTTAGGGGTTTAGGGGTCTAGGAGGTTCGGGTTAGGGGTTTAGGGGTTTAGGGGCTTAGGGGCTTAGGGGTCTAGGGGTTAGGGGTTGCAGGGGTTAGGGGTTGCGGGAGGGGTTTGGGGGTTGCGGGTTTAGGGGTATGCATGTATGTAGGATGTGAGGCTTTAGCTGTACTATGTTGGATATCAGCAATGATATTTTACGTGTATTGTAGAAATGGAAAGTCGTTGACATGCACAAAGTATCAGCGACATAATAGTAATGATGGTAATAAGATTTTGGTGTCTATAATAAGAATACAAATCAATAATAGCAGCACTAAAATATGTATGCACATGCATATACAGTTATGCACATCTGATAAACAAAGGATATTTGGCTTTGCTGATTCAGCATGTGCAACTTGGGGCTAGAGCGTTGCGGTTGCCGGATTTCCAAGACGATGAGTTGTTCTTCGGGGATATGGGTCCTTTCCCGATGATGTCCTATTGTTTTTGACAAATCCCCCTGCATCCAAGAGCCCTCAACTGGCAATCAGGGTGTACAGACACACATACTTACTGAAGAGCTCATGATGATTACCATAATCGTATTTTTTTGGTATTTCCATCGCAATAAAAGGTGAGTAAGCTCGTTGCAACGATGGTTCTTCTTTTGGTTTATAATTCCGACCATCATTCCCCAGTATTATCACTGTTTCTATTGCTGTTCTTTTTATTCTTTTTGTGGTTGTCATTATCATTATACCATCAGCGCTATTATTGCTGATCGTGTTCTTATCACCATTATTGCTATCGCTTTTATGCTTATTATCAGTCGTTCCTCCTCTTCTTCTTATTCTTGTTCTTATTCTAAGTCTTGTTATTGTTTGTATTCTTATTCTTGTTCTTTCTGCTTATTCTTGCTATGATCATGATTCCGACCTTCGTTGATGAGAGCGGCAAGCTTCGAAAAGACTCGGCCGCGCCCAGAAGCATATCAGACCCGAAACCCAAAGGGTCTAGGGCTTAGAAGTTTTTCCAAACCCTACACCCAAAATCCCTCAAACCCCGAAACCCGTAACCCCTCCCCCGGGGGCCTAACTAAGAAGGAAAGCACATCATTCACTATAGATCCCTAGTGTCCCTAAACCCTAAACACCTCAAGCCCTAAACCCCACAACCCTAAACCCTAACCCCTACAGCCCTAAACCCCAAAACCCGAAACCCAAACCCCCAAAAGCCCTAAGCCCCAAAACCCCAAACCCAAACCCCTAAACCCTAAACCCTCAAGATCAGCCCTGAAAGTACCTCTCAGAGCATTGGCCCCACTGAGGCCAACTCGGGTCATCCTGGTACACCCATGGCGCGAGCCTTAGGTGGGTAGTTATCAAAATGATGGTCCCTTTTTGGGTATACCCTAAATAATAGGTGCCGTACTATAATTAGGGTCCCTTTTTGGGGTAGCCTAAATAAATAGGTGCCGTACTATAATAAGGATCCAAAAAGGGACCCTAATTTTGACAACCACCGAGGCGACTCGGGGCTTTGGGGCGTTCACAGGTAGAAGTTAGAAGTAGGACTTTACGGAACTTTAGGGTTTAGGGCTTAGGGTTTAGGGTGTTGGGTTTTGGGGTTTGGGGTTTAGGGCTAGGGCTTACGGCTGAGGGTTTAGGGTTTAGGGCTTGGGGTTTAGGGCTTAGGGTTTGGGGCTTAATGGTTTAGGGTCGGGGGTTTTGGGGTTTGAGGTTCCTCCAAGGAGTCTTTCTTACGGTCGTTCTGATTTTGTTGAGTATGGCTAACTCTTTGGGTTAGTAGAGGGGCTTGAATAATTGGAGGAGGGTTTGGGGGTATATGTTACCATGGTTAACACGCTAAGCCCTGTAATTGTAGAGATAATTGTAAGGGTTGAGGAGACATGCGTCTTAGGGTTTTAGGGGTTTGGGGGCTATGGGTTTTGGACAGGAATTTCGGGTTTGAGGCTGCAGGTGTCCTTCAAGCCCTTCAAGCTTAGGCTATAGAAGTTTCGGGTCTTGGGGTTCAGGGTTTTTCAGGGTTCAGTTTTGGGACTATGTTGCGCTGTCCTAGGGTTTGGGGACTACCCAGGTTAAGCCTGTAGGTTTTAGCGCTGCAGCACCTTAAACCCGAAGTCGGAAACCGAAAACCAGACTTCTAAAGTGATTCAACCCACGCAGACCCTGGACACCTAAACCTTATGTCCTAGAAGCTGCCCCCACCCTGTAATAGTGAAATAGTGACGATAAGGATCATATTACGGCCCTATTGTACTCCTAATATACGACTATTACAGGGTGGGGGCCTCTTCTAAGTTATATCGGCCCTATGTACCCAATGCCGCAAAGAACCTCCCAGAGAAACCCTGACTTTCCGAAATTCTGAAGGAAATCCACAAAGCATCCCTGCTAAAACGGCAGAGAAACCATGTGGGAGTTTCCGAATATAGGGGACCCTAATATAGTACCCTGAATAGAAGGATCCTTATTATAAGGACCCCCAAAATAGGTACCCCTAATTTTCGGAAACTCCCATATGGAGCACTGCAGAGCTGTTGTGGATCCCCCTAAACCCTAAACCCAATACCCTTGGAGACCCTAAGCCCCAAACGCCTTGAAGTTGAAGAAAGACGCAGCGTCTGGCTCTGATATGGGGCTCCTCTTTAGGACAAATGGGTGCCGGCACAAGCTGTTGCAAAAAGGACGAGACTCGGTGGCAGTTTGGCAGACTTGCTTTAGTTTAGGTTTTCGGGTGCACACCCCAAACCCTAAACCCCAAACCCTTAAATGCTAACCTCTACACCCTAGCTGAATCTACTATTCTTGGGCCTAAAAGCACAAGCCGCAGGAGATCGTGGAAGTAAGCAGCTCGGCGGATAGTATACAATTCTTGTGAAGATCTTACGGTTCATATGAGATTTAGGGTTTAGGATTTAGGTTATAGGGGTTTATTGTTGAGCCTTTCGTATTAAAGCTCTTATGCCGGTTCATAGCGGTTCTTACATTTTGTAAGCGGGGCTGCGAGATACCTTGTGGGATTATGGAGGCATCCAGCATAGTTGCCTAACGACGTAGTGTGTGTAGTAGACTATACAACCTATCCAAACCTCTATCACTATTGTTCGGACTAGCTTATTCAGAGATCTATAACCATGATTGAGAATTGATTCTGCTGGTATTTCAGCGACAACCCAGGCAATGTGATTCACCAGAACCACCACGAAGAAGTCCCAGATCCGATCCCTGAGCTGCCGGGTCCTTGTTAAAGGTTTAGGGTTTCGGGTTTGGGGCCTAGGGGTGTCTGTTAAGGAACTTAACGTCAGCTACCAGGCTAGGGGTTCATGGTATACCTTAATCACCCTAGGGATCTAAGGACTAATATATTAAGGCTTTTGGGCCCAAAGACCATACTATTCCAGGGCTTTTGGGCTATTTTGATACCTAGGGTCAGGGTTCATGGTAGATGAAGTGTTCCCTAGGTTCGGCTACCATGCCAAGGGTTCATGGCATGGTCGACACTATGGTGTCCTCATACCCTAAACCCAAAACCCCAAAGCCTGAAGCCTAAATGCTCAAATGCTCAATCCAGCCCTATACCCTAAACCCTAAACCCTATACCCTAAACCCTAAATCCTAACCCCCTAAACCTAAGTTCCTTAACAAGAAACCCCAGGCTGGGACTGGAGAGCCCCGGGACGGAGGAGGGGAAGTCGGTCGAGCCCTTTGTGCCTTAGCAAACGCGGAAGTCTATAACAGTTCTGTAGGTTCTGTAGGGTTTAGGGGGTTAGGGGTTTAGGGGTTAGGGGTTTAGGGGTTCAGGGTTTAGGGTTTAGGGGTTTAGGGGTTTAGAGTTTAGGGTTTCAGGGTTTAGGGCGTAGCATTATCTCAACACGTGGAAGGCATACGGAGAACTCGTCTACCGCCCACGTTTTGGGTGAGTCTCGCAGCAAACAAATCTGAAACCTTGAAACCCTAAGCCCAGTGACAGTGAGCCCTTCGAGACTGCTTTTCTGGAGGCAGATCGGGCAGTCACGAAACACCGGAGCGCAACCAACAACAAAAAGCTTAAGCCAACTGAACCCAACCAAACCCTAAACCCTAACCCTAAGCCCTAAACCCAACTAATCCCTAAACCCTAGCCCTAAACCCTAAACCCAACTAAACCCCTGAAGCCCTAAACCCCTAAACCCTCTAAGCCCAAGGAGGAATTCCCTCGGGAGTCCTTCGATCTCACGCAGCTCCAGCCCCGGCTAAGTGTGGATCCAATGCTCCTCCGAGGGATTTCCCTGCGGAAGTCCTTGCGGAAGTTGGGTCGGATCCCTCGCTGCGGATTTGTTTTTGTTTTTTTTAAATAGGGGTTTAGGGTTTTTAGGGATTTGGGGTTTTTAGGGTTTAGGGTTAAGGGATTTTGGGTTTTTTAGAATTTAGGGATTTGGGTTTTTTGGGGTTTAGGGATTTTAGGGATAATCTTGGGTTTCCTTGGTGGTTCAAGGTGCTCATTTGTGATCATCTTTGGATTCCTTGGTGGTTTTATAGCAGAAAGGATCCGAGGCACGGGTTTGGGATACTCGGAAAATCTTGAAATTGCTTACGAAATTGGTTTAGGGTTTAGGGTGTAGGTCGCTAGCTATCAACAGTTTTGAGGGCTGATGAAATCCACACGAGGATCTGGATGACCAAGCCCAGCCAGCTGACAGCAACGGATCACCAAGTTCTCTCGGAAGCATCTGTCAAGGTGGATCGCTTCGACGTCTTCATCTCGCATACCTGGGAGACCTCTGCAAAGTTGAAAATATGGGCATTGACCTTGCAGACAGGTTGGCGTTGCATCGTGGTATCTTGGCTGGTCTTCAATCTGCTCGCGGCATTTCTCTCCATCAATGCGTTCCTTCCCTATCTCAACCCTTACTGGTTCCTGGGCCGTTTTCAAAAGCACAGCTCAACATCTTTTTAGTATAGTATACTCGAAGCTCCAGATCTTGAAGTTGACTCTAAACCCTCAAGCAGCCCCCCGAAATCCTAAAGCCTAAACAGCGGAGGTTCACCAATGCATATTGGACCGGTTGGGTGGTGATATCTCCATGGATGCGCATCGCTGGGATTCTGAGCTTCGTCGTCGGCCTGGCCGTGGCCGCTTACTGGCCCAACTGGCCGAGATCTGACTTGGCCTTCGTGGACGTGGTGGCTGATGCCTGAAACTTGTGGAGTCTAGGGTTTATAGGGTTTAGTTTAGAGCGTAGGGTTTAGGCTTAGGGTTTGGGTTTTTCTAGAAGCCTCGAAGCCCCAAACCCTTTACAGAACGTAACAGCCTTTAGCGAGCATTCAAGCGAAAATCCCGTACTTGGAGGCTCATGGGTAGTTATGAGTGGAGTTATAAGTAGGGTAGCTATAATCATAACCCAAGTATCCCCCAGCCCAACAGGTGAGCATCGATCAGGCGGACCCATCGATGACGCAAAGGGGGGTTTATGGCCTGGGAGGTTTCGCGGCATGAAGGTTTTAGTAGGGTTTGGGGTCTAGGGTTCAGGGGTATAGGGTTTAGGGTTTGGGGATGAGGGTTCAGGGTTTAGGGTAAGGGGGGCTTTGGTACGGCTTTTTCGGTTCTGCCGTGAGGGTTCTGTGAGGGCTCTTTCATTATGGGTTTGCTTGACTATGATGGTTTTCCAACAAGGCTTCTTCAGGGGTTGGTTCCGTAAGGAGCTGTCAGCAAATTGCTGAATCTAGGGTTTTGAGTGTCTAGTATGGGGCTTAAATACATACCAATTCTACTGTAAGGGTTCCTTTTTATGATTATAGCAGATTGTTTCCCCCCCCAAAGCCCTATTCCAACATTAAGGCCCCTATCCAAGCGCAGCGCGGTTTAAGGTTTCAGGGTTTACGCATTGGTTTCAGGTTATACAGGGTTTCAGGTATTGGGTTCTAGGCGGAAGAGTGTTATTTGCGGGAGCTTCTCTTGTAGACCGCCTCGGGCAGCAAGAGAATGAACATTCTAGGCCCTGAAGTATAGAAGCCACATCTGCACGCAACAAACATGAACCTTGATCCCCTAACCCTAAACCCGAAACCCCAAACTCGAAACCTCCCAAACCCTAACCCTAAACCCAAACTCGAAACCTCCCTAACCCTAAACCCTAAACCCTAAAATCGAAACCTCCCTAACCCTAAACCCTAAACCCTAAAATCGAAACCTCCCTAACCCTAGATCTGATTCCCTACCCTGAACCCTGAACCCGGCCACCGCAGACTCTCGACCCTGATCGCTGATGCAGCATGGAACCCCAAAGGGAGCCGCCTTTTCGTGTTGCTTCCGAAGGACTTCAATCCAAAATCTCAAATAGAGACGGGCAGTACAGCCAGGGTGTTCTTGCAATGGTTCGTTTAGCAAAGCATGTCAAGCCCTAAACCCCTAAAACAAGACGAAAGGCCCTAACTCCCTGAACCATCGAACTGGAAGGCTGATAGACTAGTCCTTAAGCCCAAGCCTTTCACCCGAAACCTTGAACCTTAATCCTATAACCCGGAACTTATCCCTGAACCTTTAACCCTGAACCCTAAACCCCTTATAGTACCCTCATAGATCCCTTGCAGGAACCCTTACGGATCCCCTAGAAGGAACCCTAGACTGGGAGTCTCCGAAAATTCGGGGCACCGTATTTTTTTGGATCCTTCTAAGAAGGATCCTACTACTTAGGGTACTATATTCGGGTCCCCCATTTTCGGAAACTCCCATAATGGTAGCCCCTATCAGCAATAATATAGTAGTCCTTACCCCCTTAAAGGAACCCTAACCCTTAACCCCAAACCCTCAAGCCAAAACCCTAAACCCAATAGACCCTGGCTCCTTATGGTACCCTCATAGATCCCTTGTAGGAACCCTTATGGATCCCCTTAAAGGAACCCTAACCCTTAACCCTAAGCCCTAAACCCTAAACCTTTAACCCTAAACCCTACACCCTGGCTCAGGTTTCTTGGCGCTCTCTCGAGAACTCATGGTGCTCTGGAGTCCTCCGCTTTTCACGAGGCTTTGGCGCCCGGGCCGGGAGCAAAGCCTGTTTGGAGGTATGTTCGAGAGTGTTTAGGGTGTAGGGTGTAGGGTTTCGGGGTTTAGGGGTTCAGGGGTGTAGGGTTCAGGGGTGTAGGGTTCAGGGGTTCAGGGGTTTAAGGTTTATATAGGGGTTTAGCGGCTGAGGTGTTCATTAAGGGTTTCGGACTGGGAACTGAAGGGGTTTCATCAGGATGGCTATGGATGCTCGTACGTGTGGTTGTCAAAATTATGGTCCCTTTTTGGGTCCCTAACATAGCACGGCACCTAATATTTAAGGTACCCCAAAAGGGACCATAATTTTGACAAGCACCCATGCAGGCTTTTGGCAAGGGTATCATGTATACTCAAAACGCCCCCGACTCAATTGCGGGTGGGGCTTTCGTCACCAGGACCTAGGACGTACACTTCCTTCTCGTTTTTCTGTAACTATCATGTTAGTATTTACTTGTTGGGGTTTCTGATTCTACGTATTTTTTGTAACTATAGTACACCCCAAAACTTTTTTTCTAGCTACTAAAGCCCCTATATGACCCTAGCAGCCTACGTGCAGTAGCGGTGAGTGTGAGGAGGATGTATCTCGACTCTGAACGGGTAGTTCTCGATCTAGACTAGGGTACCCAAACTGAGTACCTGAATGAGGACATTTGACACTTTGTGGGACAATATGTTCCGTTTAGAACTGAAGGTGCGCACTTTTGTGCGCTTATGAAGTCAGCAGCTAAGCAATCCCTACACCCTGAACTCCGGGTCCAAAATCCAGGTGCGTCTTCGAGTTGGCAGCCTTCCGGAAAGCGAACCCGAATGGAAAGATCGTACTGGCTCCGCTCTACGTCATGCTTCGGCAAAAGGGAGAAACTGTTTTTTCCAACTACTTTTTGTCTAAGCTTGCACTATTGCTCTACCACAGCGGCCTAACAAACATTCCAATAATTACGATTTTGGGGCCCCAAAACCCTTTTCTAATTATTACGGCCCCTATATTACCTGGAAAGAGTTGCATCTGGAAAAAGCGTGCGAAGGTGGAGGTGCTTGTCGGGCTCATCTTGCTGTGGCTGCTGCTGGACCATAGTAAGGACACCTTTCAGGGATCTATAAGAGTTCCTTTTAAGGGTTCTTTATGGTTTTAGGGTTTAAGGGGTTTAGTTTAAGTTGCCATAATAAGGAAACCATACTAGGTACTATGGATCGCCAAAATGGTAAATTAAATCCTTTAACAAAAACCCTTATAGAACCCTTAAAGGAACCCTAATTATGGTAACTTACATGAAATCCGCTAAAAAAGAGCCCAGGCTGTTCATGCAGCTTTTGCACTTCGTGCTCTACAACTTCTTCCCTCTCTCGCAGATCTTTGTCTTCTTGGGACTCCTTCCCATACTTCTCTGCATCCACCAGGCCGGGGGCTTGGCTGTATATAATATCCATAGTATATATATATATATATGTTTCTGCATATGTATAGGTATATGTATAGGTGTATGTATATGTATATGTGTATGCATGTACAGCAGAATAGATTGCCGAATGAAACATAAGTCCAACCCAAGACCTTAGTGTAGAACATGGACTACAGGGGTAATATAGGGGCCTAAATAATTACCGATACTACTTTGGGGGTTCCTTGTTAGAGTTATAGTATAATATGCCCCAAAACCCTATTCTGATTATTAAGGCCCCTAAATTACAGTACTAAGGCCCCTATATTATATATAGTACCCTTCTAGATCCCTTACAGAAGGCCTCATAGAGCCCTTTCAAGGAACCCTATTCTAATTATTAAGGCCCCGACATCATTCCTTCTTCGCATCCCCCAAGCCCTGAACCCGAAGCACCTAACCCTGAACCCCGAGCCCCTGTAGCTCAGCAGCTGAGCAGCCTTACACCCTAGACCCGGCACCTTCAACCCTTATAGATCCCTTGTAGTAGGCCTCATAGAGCCCTTTCAAGGAAACCCTGTTCGAGTTATTAAGGCCCCCATATTATTCCTTCCTACCTGAGACCCGAAATCCAAAAACGAGAACCTGAAGCTTTAAACCCTACAGTAGAAGCCAGAAAGTTGGAATATCATTATCGTAACCCCTTTAAGGTAAACTATAGGGGATCCTACCATTAATCCATATTCCAACTTTCTGGAGTTCCCTGTAAACTAAACCGCAGGCCTGAAACCCTAAACCCAGAACTCTATAAAACCCCGAAAACCCAACATCCAAAAACGGAAAACCGAAAACCTGAGACCCTAAACCCCCAAATCCGAAAGCCGAAAATCTGAGACCCTAAGCCCTGAAAGCCCCCGAAAAGAGCAGCGAAAGGCCAGGAAGACCTTCGGAGAGAAGCGCCAGCTCTTGGGCCTTTCTTTAAGGGGCTTCAGGGGTTTAGGGGTTTAGGGTTTAGGGGTTTAGGGGTTTAGGGTTAACTCTAAGTAGTCGGGGTCTATAGTGAATTATACGGATACGGGTTAAGGGTTCTTCTGGGATCCGATAAGGGTTTTACGGTAAAGGGGTTCGAGCAAGCAAGGAGCCCACAGGAAATATCTGCAAAGGTTCCTGTAAGGGATTTAGAAGAGTTCTCGAAGGCTTCAGGGTTTAAGTTACCAGAATATGAACTGTAGTTAACAATAGGGTTTCCTTGTTCTGGTATCTTAAACTGTACTTAACAATAGGGTTTCCTTATTCTGGTATCTTAAACTGTAGTGAACAATAGGGTTTCCTAAGTCTGGTATCGTAAATTCCCTATCAAGAGCCCAGGCTTTTGGCGAACCTCCGAAAGTTTGATCTGAGCCTCGCCTCCTGCGCCTAGGTTTTTCAGCAGTACCCTTTTGCCCTTGGTTGCTTTGCTTGTACTTGGAGGTTCATGGGTAGTTATAATAGGGGTTTAGGGTTTAGGGAATGCTTGGAGGTTCGTGGGTAGTTATAATAGGGGGTAGAAGTGCCCTAATATGGGTTATAACTACAGTTATCCTACTGATAACCCCACTTCTAGCTGCCCATGAACCTCCAAGTAGGGCCTGTAGGGGATTTAGCATGGGGGCCATTCCTACGGGGATGCAGGGGACCAAGGCAGTAACGACTTCGACCGAAGATTCATCTACGCCGGCATCCGTGCATGGTATCCTGGAAGCACCGGCATACGACAGGGTCCCAGAGTAATTTGTAGCAGTATTCCATAGGTCCCAGAAGATGAGTTTAGCATGATATGTGCCAAAACCCTGTTCTAAGTATTACTTCCCCGAGAACACTGCAATTCCCCGGATGTTCTTGGGCAGAAGACTTTTTCCAAATGCGTGTTCCGCGGTGACTCCCAAAAACTGTTCCCGACGCGATCTATAGCAGATGCCCTGTTGCCGAAATCTCTACAGCAAACTAACCCTAAACCCCTAAACCCTAAGCCCTGAACCCCCTTCATCGCTTCCATGCAACACATCACTCGAAAGCTTGTTTCGTAGTTCGAAGGCGATGTAATGCACTCCTATCTCACTTGCTTCATCTTACTCTTGCAATCCGTGACTATAGCCACGATAACATATGCACCTTCAATATTCAATAATACTATGCCCTGGGGTTGCGCAACAGATGTTTAGCTTAGAAACCGCCCAACATTTCAAGCCTGGACAAACTATTCAATCATTGTTAGCTGCTCAAAATTAAATTAGCCGTGCCCAAATCGCCGTCGCCTCTTGATTGACGCAGGTGTACGTGTATTTCCGATGGTCCCTTCTTGAGAATGACCATCATGGAAACCACCTCCCCCGGTCAAAGACACCCAGGGTGTCAACTGCGAAATCCCTCAACCCAACGTCCCAAGTCGTAACCCCTCATAATGAACGAAAAACAGTAATAAGCACAATGGTAGAAAAGTCATATTCATCTCCAGACCGCCAAGCCGTAACTCTAAAATCCTTAAATCCCTAAACCCTAAACCCTCAACCCTTAAAAATCCCAAGGTATAATTCTGAAAACCTTAAATCCCAAGGTATGGCAGCTATGAGGCCTTCACGGAGTACGTGAGAGGACCTGTCTTCCTAGAGCTCGTGTCTCCGCTCTTGAGCTTCCAGGTCCTGACTTTCGGTTCTCGGGTTCAGGGCAACTTCGAAAAACCCTAAACCCTAAACCCTTAAAAAACACAAAAAAACCCTAAGCCATAAGCCCCAAAAGGATGGCAGTAGACCTTAAACCCTAAACTGTTGAGGGTTTAGGAAGTGAAGGGCTCCTTCTTCGAACGGGAATTCGAAGGGGCCCCAACCGCCCAGACCCCTAACCCCCAAAGTCCAAGCCTTGGGTTTCGAACGCCCAGAACCCCAGGTGCCGTTACGATATTGGGTCCTGATCGGTCTCTTCGAGATGAGTTCACTGCTCGAGTTCACTGTGGCTTTCATCCGAGGCACCGAGGGGCCAACAGGGTTTGTACTGGGATGATTAGTAGACATGCATGTATTTCGGACCGTTTTGTTATCAGGACCGTCCTCATTATAAGGTATCATGATCTTCGTCTTGCCCCGGTCATTGTAATTATGGCTATCTTTCCACCATCAATATCATATCATCACATCATGATCATTGTCATTATCAAGGCCATTGCTGCTTCCAGTACCACCGCCACTAACTGTTATCATGATCATTATTGGCATGAGTTGTTGGTTCTAGTGTTCGTTACTGCCATACTGATTCCTACTGTCTTGATTGTGACTGTGACTATGGCCATGACGACATTGAGTAGTGTGACTGTTGTTGCACTTGATATTAACATGAGTATGAGCTGTACTAATACTAAGCATGATAATCATACGTATCTAGACTGTTGCTAGTACCAATGCTAATACTCATGCTACTGCTAATACTAGTACTAGTACTAGTACTAATACTCATTGCTGCTAATACTAATACGAATACGAATGCTAGTTCTAATATTCATATCATCTCTCATACTATTATTAACTATCTCTAGTTCTGATGCGAATACTAGCACTAATACTAATGATAATGCTAATGCCAGTTCAAATACTACTCATGATGATGATGATGATGATGACGATTATGCTGATGCATATATATATATATATATATATGTATATACACACACCTACGTATGAAGTCCGTACTAGTGATATGTTTAGTTCACACATAATTATTACTACCATTGCTAGTGCCATTGTTGTTCTTACTTGATTTCTTGTTTGAAGTATTCTGCTACCAGGCATGAACAGCATGGCAATAGTAGCCGCTATCAGTCGTCATTATTGCGACTTACGTTTCCGGGTTTCATGCTTTTGGTCGAAGCTAGCGTTCAGGGCGTCCTGCACTGTTCTTTTTTTTGGACAGTTCCGAGATTTCATGACGATCTTCTGGAGCTTGGCTCTCTCGAGAAAGTTTTTGCCCAGGATCTTGCCTTCGCTAGGTTTCTCCAGGCTCTGGCCAGGAACTTGCCTCTCCCATGCGGTTCAACCCCGTGCCAGGTCACTGCATTTCAATCACCACCACCAAACCCTACACCCTAAGCCCCACAAAAATCTTGAAACCCTAAACACCAAGAGCACCTTCAGCCCTAAACACCAAAAAAAGCCCTAAACCTTCCATCCAAAACCACCAGAGAAATAAACATAACACAAGCCCTACACCCTGGACCTTTGACCACCGTTCCAGGGGGAGCCCCCATCGAGATGGTTCTGTCTCAGCTCTTGGCGTCCGTCCTGAGCCAGGTGGGGGCTTTCAAAATGTCTGGGGGGTTCTATATATATATATATATATATATATATCAATGTCAGACGTCGTTTATAGGGTTGTGAGTAGGTTTCTTCCAGGTGATACAATGGTTTTGTAGGATGTTTTCGTGGGCCTTTAGGTTTCTTCGGGGCTTTTACAAGATGTTCTCAAGTTAGCTTGCTTTAGGGATTCCCAATCTGTACGATCTACGGTAGGTTCCCCTTTTCGTGAAACAACTCAAGCCCAATCCCCAAAACCCTAAGCACCCTAAACCCAAAATCCAAAACGCTGCAAAACCTTAACAGCAACCTTTCCACTCCTGTTGCAAGCTCTCAGATTCTTTGGCGCCTTCTGGCGATGCAGCTGGTGTTCTTTCTCTGTGATCGTTGCAGCCTCTCCGGCTTTTGCTTCGTGGTCCCACAAGGATTTCGTCAAGGTTTGTTCCGGGGGTTCTAGGGTTCAGGTAGAAGGGTGTAGGGACATATTACCCCTTTTACTGTATTCCATCGTGTTTTGGTGTTCTGGAGGTCTTGTAGAAAGCCCCAAACCGCAAAACCTAGGGTGTGGTGGGACCCAGAAAGGTGTTGGGGGGTTCAAACCGAAACCCCAAGCCTGAAACCCTAAACCAGAAAACCCAGTAGCCTCAATCCTTAAGAGTAATGTAAAGGGAGTCCCAGCACTAGTTGGCCTTAATCCGGTTTCCAACTTTATGGGGTTTACTATCTTCCCTTTGGAGCCTAGGCTGCGTTGACCTCCTGGTCAGCTTCGGGATTTGGCTGCTGGTCGTGGCGTTCCTGTTTGGATCCTTTCAGCTATCAGGTGGGAGGGTCCGACGATGCTGGTTGCTCTTTATAAGAATTAGAGTAGTGCTCTTATAAGAAGTTGAGTAGTGCTCTTATAATAGCTAGAATAGTGCTCTTATCATAATTAGAACAGGGTTCCTGGAAGGTTTCTGTAACGGTTGCCTTCATGGTTGAACATGGGGCCTTCCTATTTAGAATACGGGTTGGGGGTATATTATAAGGTACACTAGCAATGGGGCTAAGAGCCACAAGGGGAGCAATATATCCGACACCCTTGATCTAAGGGGCCCTTCCATGGACCCTAACACGCCGCCAAGAAGGTACTATAGGGGCCTAAATAAACACCAATACAATTTTGGGGTTCCTTCTTATAAGTATAGACTACTGGGCACCAAAACCTTGTTCTAATTTTGAAGGCCCCTATATTAGAGTACCCTTATACATCCTTGATAGTAGGCCTCATAAACCCCTTTAAAGGAACCCTATTCTAGTTATTAAGGCCCGTATATCATTCCTTCTTCTCATCCCCCAAGCCCTAAACCCGAAGCACCTAACCCTGAACCCCTAGTCCCTAATTGTTATGGCCCCTACGATGATCTAAATCCTGCATTACCCATAATAAGAAATATACCATGATTCGCATAGTTTAGGGTCCTTAAGGTAATGCAGGATTTATATCTTCAACCGTATGTTACCCTAAACCCTAGACCCACAGGCTTCGCGGAAGCAAATGGCTTGGCGTTCTCCGCTGCGAGCGCTTTGCTGGCCTCGGTCGCGAGCTTCTTGGCCTTTGGCGGTTGCAGCTGCTTGAAGCAGCGCCTGAGCCCAAAAGGGGGTTCCTTCAGACCCAATGATTCTCCTGTTCTAGGTGAGAGCCAGGGCCCCAAACGGGGTTCTTCCAAACCCGATGATTCTCCTGCTCTGGGCGAGAACCAAGCCTAGACAGCGAGGATTTCCTCAGGGCAGTTTCACACCCGAAAAACTCAAATGGGCTGTCAATAGCCAGCTCGGCAGCGCGACCACCGAGAACAACCAGTGCTCTTTGCGCATGCCACGGCCGTAATGTTAACGCCGAAATAATTACCTATACTATTTAGGGGATTTTGGGGGGTTCCTTATCATGACTATAGTCAAATGATTACTTACGTCCTCTATAGTATTTCTCGAAGCAGCCTCGAGCCAAGAGTCTGAAAGGCCATGGCTCCTGTGGCCTACGCCTTGTGGGCGAGGCCTCTGATGTGTTCAGCTGCCGCTTTTTCGTGGTTTCTTTAGGGCCTTAGGGTTGCGGGTTTAGGGTTTCGAGGTTTGCCAGCATAGTATCGGTTCTAGATTTTGACGGGACTTGCGAAGGATGTTACAAGTCGGTACGAAAAGATGGGTGCCTTCAACTGGCTGGTTGGTAAGGGGATTGCATACGCTTGTGTGTGCTAGGGGTTGATTGCAATTTGCTGAGATTTGTTGGAGGTGCATGGGTAGTTATAAGTCAAGTGGGGTTTTAAGTACCTAATATGGGTTATAATCATAGTTACCCTACTTACAACTCCACTTCTAACTACCCATGAACCTCCAAGTAGGGGTTCTTATGTAGGGTTCCTTATGAAGCGGAGACAGGGTTTACTGCACTTTTCAGACATTTCGGGGTTTACGTTCTGAGGTCATGTGGTTCTAAAGTTGGAGCCCCTCAACAAAAAAGAACCCCAAACCCTAAACCCTAAGGGCCAGATCTGGGAACAGATTATGAGCTGGAAGTATTCTTCCTTAAACCTCCCACATGTTCTTGAACTATACCATACCCCCAACACCCTTCTAGGGTTTAGGGTTTAGGGGTGAGGCCTCCAACAGCCGTGTACAGCCTTGCATGGTTGTATATTCCCTACCAGACCCTTTACTACCGCCTCCTATGAGTTCTCGGATCAAGTCCTACCCTCTACCCTATGCCTATGCCCTGAACTCTTAACCCTCAGTTTTCGGATCAAGTGCTACAAATAGTTCCCCTGCCTTCGCCCCTCTCTGACGCCATGGCTGACGCCGCCGCAGCGGGAAAGCCGCAGAGCCAGGCTCTAGGGTTCCTTTAAGGGTCCCTTTAAAGGGATGTTTTGGGATTCGTTCAGGATTCTAGCAGGGTTCTATTAGGAATACGTAGACGGTCTATAAAGGTTCTAGAAGGGTTCTGGAAGAGCGCATGCGGTTGAAGATATTAGCGGTTTTCCTGGTTTCGTGCTTTAGTCTGTAGGCTGAGTTTTAGGCTGTACGTGGGATGAAGGCGGCATAAGGCCCTATGAGCTGCGCAGACCCTTACTAACATTGGCGTGTGATTCAGGATACCTGATATAATTCTGAGGTCTCCTATTTGGATTTCGCCCACCTACCTTTCTGTGATGCCACATGTTCCGCAAAGCCTAAATCCCCAAACTGCTGTCTGTTGGAGCGGTTGGAAGAGGGCGCGATTAAAATAAACCAAAACTGCCCAGAGAGCCCAATACCACCTAATTAAGGAGTATACCTTAAATCATAATATGAACCGCCTCATAATTTAAGGTATATCCCTTAATTAAGGAGTATGGGGCTCTCTGGGTGCTATTAAGCCCAACGACAGGCTGAGTTCATCCTCTACACGACCCTCAGGAGCGTCGGCATGCTCCTAGAGACTGCAGCACCCCGCGGACATGTATTGCATCATGTATTGCATCACATTTAGGATCCCTCCTTAATTTAAGGCGCATCCCTGCCTCCTGTCAGGATCATCGGCGTCCTCGTCTCAATCTACATGTTCTTGATGGGACTGGACATGATGGGCAGCTCTTTCCTTGTGCTCGGAGGCAAAGGTGCAGGCAGGGCAAGAAAGAAGGGGATTCATGTAGGATCTGGGCTAAACCCTAGGCCCCAGCCCCAAACCATGAACTGCAGGGTTCCAAGGTTTGGGATTCAGGGTTTCAATGAAGCTTAGGGCTTCAGGGTTCTAGGATTTTGTGATTCCATTGAGATAGCACACCAAAAGCGGACACTACCAAACACAATATCTCAGCGCCCCTAAAGCCCGAAACCCTAGACCTTAAACCCTGGCGTATCTCGGAGACTTTCGGGCTTCCGCAGAAAAGGAGCTCAAAAAAAAGAACCCTAAACCCTGGGCCCTAGACCTTGCATCCTATATGATAGAACCCTACTATAGATCCCCTATAGACCCCTTTAAGGGATCCCTTTCAGGAAACCCTATTCTAATTTTACAGCCCCCTAAACCCTTAACCTTTCATCCGCGAGGAGACCTCTTCACGATTGTGGACAACCCTGTGACAGGCAAGAGCTGTTTCTTAATACAACATACTTGAATACAGCATCATCATGGATAATATGTAAATCTACATATATATATATGTACACACACACACAAACTTATAGATAGATAGCACACCTTGATACAACATGATGTGACGCCATATACAATATGTGAAGGTGTGATGTGATACAATGTAATGTAACATAGTGAAGTCGAAGCTGTTTCCGGTTCGGTCGAAGCGCTTTGACGGGCATTGCGTTCGGAAGTTTTGGGTTAGCGTTCAGGTTTGTAAGGTTTAGGGCTTCTTCAGGGTAGGGTTTAGGTCCGAGGTTTTTGAGAAACAGAGTGGCTGCCGCACTTGCAGGTTTGATGGTGGGCATTCTGGCGACCGTCCTGGTTCAGTCCTCCTCCACGAGACGTGGCCAGCAATAACTGCGCACAGGCGTCGAAGAAGTTGTTTCGGATGTATGCTGAGCCACAAGGTGACCCCCTAATCCTAAACCGGCCCTAAAACCCAAACCCTGAACCCTAAAATCCCTAAACACGCACCGGATCTTGAGCTTCACTGCCTAGGAGCTGCAAGGTGATCCGCAAACCCTAAACTGGCCCTAAACCACCCTAAACCCTAAACCCCTCAACCCCTAAACACTAAACCCTAAACCCTAAACATGAAATACAAACACCAATTCTTGAGCTTCACCGCCCCTCAACCCTGAGAACCCTAACAGCGCACCGGGAAGCCCACTGTTCAGGAGCACCTCGATCGTGGTTGGCCTGGTCGGGGCCGGTCAGGCCAGGGCAAACCTTGCCCAGTAGGGTTTAGGGTTCGGGGTTGAGGGTTGAGGTTGAGGGGTTTAGGGTTTAGGGGTTTAGGGTTTAAGAGTTTAGGGTTTAAGAGCTTAGGGTTCAGGGTTTAGGAGTTTAGGGGGGTTACAGGGCTCAGAGACCATGACAGCCAAAACGTGGTGGCGCCTATTGGGGCTCGGAACCCCAAGTGTACTTGCAGCCCTATAAGAACCCTTGAAACCTTATGGCCTATGGCAGCCCCCATGGCCAGCTTCACCACGGCCAAAGGATCCATTGATCTTATTAGTGATTTGGCAAATTTCGGCAAGAATGAACGGAAGCAACCTCCCGGAGCGGACGTTGCGAAGAGGGTGACGACTGGACCCGGCACTTGAAAGCGCATTCGGGATGGGGCGGTCGAAGGCGTGAAAAGCCGTTTGGGGAGGGAGGGCAGGCTCTCGTGCCTGTGTGAGCCCCACAATTTTGGAGATGGCAGAACTCCCCGGAATCAAGAAGACCATGTTGGACGTCTTCTCTGCGACAGAAATGTTCAGTCCTGTACGCAATGGTCGAAGGCTTTAGAGGTTGGCAGTGTTTGAGATTGATCATGACGTGTCTCAACTCATGTGGAGCTGCGGAGGTGTCCGTCAAATATGCGATTCCCATCATTATGGGAGCAAACATCGGTACGAGCGTCACCAACACCATTGCCGGGTGCTCAGGACTTCATGGGTCGGTCTGATGCGCACCTCGAAGTTCGGGGTGAGGGCTCAGGGAGAATCACGGCCCCCCGAATCGACCCTTGTTTAGCGAACTGCATGCGAGTTGAGCTTGAGGTGTCCATGGCACATGCTGGCGAGCGTCTCGAGCTCGAGCGTGCTTTCTCTGGTGCGACAGTCCATGACATGTTTAACATGTACCTACGAAGCAAAGTGAGGAATCCCTTTTGAGGATCATGTAAGGTTGACATTCTGGGAATTTGCGGGATCTTTTTTGTTTTTATGATGCTCGTTTCATTTGTGAGTCGTTTGCTGTTTCAAAACGCTGGCTTCCGTCGAGGCTGAGTGTGGCTGTGATGCTCCCAGAGGAGGCGGTCCGGGGTGTTTGGGGGGGGGGGGGGTCGGGTTGGTTTACGGTTTAAGGGTTCCATAAAGGTTACTATACGGACTACGATTAAATGTTATTACAAGGATTCCATGGCCAAAGTCAAAGCGCTAGCTTTGCCACGTCGGCAGGTCATCCTGGGGGCCATCACTGGGGAGGGTGGCATCTTGTTCTACATCTCGAAAGGCATCACCGAGGGTGTGTTGGGAGATGTCACGGACGTGACCTTCACATCTCCAACCAAGTTCATCGTGTCCCCTCTCACGGCTCCGTGGTTTCGATTCATTCAGCGTTTGGCGAAATGAGCTTAATTTAGATATCTGATGATCATTCGCTGGGGCTGGGGTTCTTTTCTGTAGATATCATACAAAGGCGTCCAAGACCCTTACATTAGTCTTGATTGGCAGCTTTGGAGTCTGGCTTCGACCGAAAGACCCCGACTTAGGACGTCTTCGTTGACCCGAACAAGGATGTGACGAAGGCTCTCTCTTTGGGCGCACCCGCGGCCCAAGCGATGCCCACCGGCCTGACTGGCAGCTGCCCAAGCACCATGGATTGCAGCAACTACTTCTGTGTGTCGTCGGCCATGACCAAGAACTGGAAGAAGGTGAACAAGGAGGCTTATGAAGCCTTGTCAGAGTGCAGCACCTACTTCCCGCTCTTGAATCACGGCTGTGGCTCGGACACCTGCTACTTGGAGGCTGACAAATTCTACACAGAGTCCATCGCGGGCGGCACCATCCTTGACGGGGGCGCCCTAGATGCTAACTCTAGCTTT